GCTCATATCAGCAGCCCTCGAATAGCGGGTCCGCTTCCACCGACCGTACTACGTCGGCTTATAACACCACCGCGCCTACATCACTTTCTTCAAACGGGCACTATGATTACGAGGCCCCCCAGACAGGCCAGAAGCGGAAGCGCACTAGACAGCAGATCGCGCAAGATGCAAAGCGGAGGGAGGTTGAGGTTCTTGGTGACGTACTCCACGAGTACCAACCTCCTCAAAAGCCGATAAAGAAGTGTGGAGAAGTTGCAGTCCGTCCTGTCAACGATGTGAGTCTATCATCCCCTCGGCGTTGTCATGGGATCGTATCCTGAACTGAACATCTCCAGCGCTCGCATCAAACAGGTGCCAAGATAGATGATGATGATGGCCACTACATAGTGGTCCCTGACGCTGATCTAACATCGCAATGTCAGTCCATTCCGTTTCCCTCGTGGCATTTCTATAGTTACCTCTGACTTTTGATAGATCAAATTAGGAAGCTTCTTGGACAAGGCACATTTGGCAAAGTGGTCGAGGCCCGGGATCGCAGGCGAAACAAGTTCGTCGCCATCAAAATCATCCGAGCCGTACAAAAATATCGAGATGCCTCGAGAATCGAGCTGCGAGTGCTCCAGACATTAAAAGCAAACGATGAAGAAAATCGCAACCGTTGCATCCATCTTCGAGACTGTTTCGACTTCCGCGGGCATATCTGTATAGTAATGGATCTGCTGGGTTCGAGCGTATTCGATTTTCTGAAAAACAACAACTTCGTTCCATTTCCGAACAGCCAAATACAGAGTTTTGCTCGCCAACTATTGACGAGCGTTGCATGTGAGTAGCCCCGGGCACGCCATAGCCATCTACGCTGACACCCAACGTTCAGTTCTTCACGACCTCAACCTTATCCACACCGATCTCAAGCCTGAGAACATCCTCCTTTGTGACAGTGCTTATCAGACCTTCACCTACAATCGGCGGATACCATCCTCGAGCACTGGGACAAACCGGCAAGCTACGCAGCGTAAGGTACTGCTCGATACAGAGATTCGTCTAATAGATTTCGGATCCGCCACTTTCGATGACGAGTATCACTCTTCCGTTGTCTCCACGCGCCACTATCGCGCACCCGAAATCATCCTCGGCCTTGGCTGGTCCTTTCCCTGCGATATTTGGAGTATCGGATGTATTCTCGTTGAGTTTTTTACCGGAGACGCCCTATTTCAGACTCACGATAACCTGGAGCATCTTGCAATGATGGAAAACGTCTGTGATAGCCGAATCGACACACATCTCGTACAGATGGTTAATAAATCGGCACCACGCAATAGCAGCAATTCCCCAGCCAAGTATGACGCAACCCGCATTAAACACACACACCGGCTTTCTAATACAAGGATTAGGTATTTTAAACGTTGGAAGTTAGATTACCCAACGAGTGAGACTACGAGAGCTTCGAAACGATTTGTGAGGAACATGAAGCGTTTAGGTGTAAGTCTAAATACCATGGCACAAAGCGGTATCTAACACCACGTTAGGATATTATCCCAGCAACTAGCCCCTTTCTCCGACTCTTCTTAGATCTTTTACAAAAGATCTTTGTCTATGATCCGGCAAAGCGAATCACTGCTCGCCAGGCTTTGGCGCATCCGTGGTTCCGAGAGACTGCTATTCCAGATGACGGGACCGAGGCATTAAAAATACGGTTAGAACGTATGAGAGAGGGCGATTACCATACGACTCGAGTTCCGGTCGGAGTATAATATCAAATGGAACTATATAATATCGCCAACATTGATACCAGCAAGGAAAGTGTATACTTCGTCAGGACCCAGGGTTATGGTACATATTTTGCGCTTGTGATGCCCATATATTTTATCAGCGTGCATGGAGGGCAGTACCCGAACGGCGTTTTGATCAGCATTTCGGCGGTCGTATCCAAAGCGACGCAGCCACTCTACATAGAGAAACTTGTCAACGGACATGCGCGATGGAACAGTAAAGACGTGTGATGTCTTCTGAATATATACTTTGCCCCAGACAACATTGTTGTTACTGGCACATGCATCAACATCTGGTTGATCGACACTTTGTGCTTCACTGTGTAACAGAGGTAGGGACTCTACCCTGGTGACTGGCAAGACAGCCAAGCGTACCCTGAGCAATTTTAGTAAGTGTACTTCCCCTTCAAACCAGGCTGACATTGGTCGCATCTAGCAGGTCCTCTGCCGGCTCTCGTTAGCCTTCGACAACAATACGTATGTTTCTAGACCAATCGAGGGTTTTGTCAACTATGGGTACAAAGGAATACTCGTCTAAGCTGTAACAAACAGTCACAAAGAATTCAGTGTTACTTGAACGTTGGCCCTTGTCTGGTTCATCTACGGGGAAATATATAGGATGGTGTACTACGAGCTTATTCCACCCATTACCGGTTTCTCTTGGCGACTTAACCAAGCAGAACTACCTGTGTATCATTGACTTGTATTCTATCATTACTTTTCAAGCCATCCTCTCCGCCAGAAAACTTTCTACTAATTTAATATCCCTGTGGATGCCCCCGATGAGTATTGGGATGCAAGACCTGTCGACCGAAATGGTCGTCCAGCTCACTGGGATTCTTGCGCGGCGTCCTGAATATGGCATCGCCATACCTTCCAGGAAATGGCTTGTAAGACAAGAAGAGAAGATGGATAATCTTCCTAAAGAATTGCTAAAGCCGGCAAATCCTCTCAGGCGCCTAGCATTCAAGATTGCCGACCGATTTGATTCAAACATTGTGGATCCGCAAGCTGTGCTCTGCAGAACACATGCTGTTCTCAATCCATTTCTAATCCGAAGGATTTTCATGGCTCTTGCGTATGAAGTCACAGTTTTCACCGATCCATTGCGTTCGTGGCCTGGCAGAACATGGTCTCCGGAGATCTCTGCTTTTGTCGGGCGACTTGACTCGATAGCGGCGTTGTGGACCGAACCACAGCTTTTCCAGGAGATATATGGGAATACCCCTTTTGACGGCCATCATATATACGTGAGATCCGCATGTGAGGCTTGCTGTCTTGCAGCTGTTGGTGCCAGTGGCCAAGCCCTAGCGGATCTTCGAGCAGCACTCTCAGATCGCATAGAACGGCGCAATGGGAAGGGTTTAGGGAAACAGCCTCGCTTTTACCGTTTCGTGGAAGGTTGGATCGACCATCTTCGAAAGGGTTCTGGAGGCGAAGACCGAGCGGCACAATGTAGGGCTGCGAGTAGGACCGTGTTAGCCCAGTTAAGGTCGGTTAGGCCTGCGATCAGAGCGTGGAAAGCCGAGCAAAAGAATCAACACGCTGACTTACGAGCTGCGCAGCAACCCGTGTTTGCCGAACTCAAGAGAACTAACGCAGGGAACATCATCAAGCCTCTGCCAGCCAGTCTTGGTCCTCAGAGACGAACCAGAAACGGGATTCCGGTTGCGTTAGCCGACGTTCAGGGGGCAGAAAATCAGAGACTCGCCGCATTGCGCGGGAATAGGCCCAAGAGTATCTACCGCCCTGATAGTATTGCTGCCTTTTCCATGGCAAATGAGGAGCTTCTCAATGGTCTGAGCCTTTCAAACGAACCTGGTCTTCGCCCTCTTGCCCCTGAGCCTCCCCGAGGGAGCGTACCTAGCGATGGTCTGCCGACGCAATCGTTCCTCCAACGATTCGAGAGTGAGATGGGACCCGCCTCCAACCATAGTGATAATCGAGATACCCAACACTTTGGAGATGGTCAGGATCACTACGATTTCCAGGACGAGCAGGATACAGAAGAGAGGGACTACGCGGGGGAAGAGGCGAGCCGAGCTAAAGTGCAGGCCTGGTGGGCCAGCCAAGTGGCCGGGTCGCATCTGAGTACCAACCCGAACGATACCAAATCCGTGCTGTCCATGGTGCACCCGGCCTTCCGACCTACTGACCAAAGCACCTACACAGCCGCGTCTGCAAAGCCCGACCCTCTCGATGTCAAGAAGGACCGGCAGTCCCGGACCAGTACCCTCAAGAGCCGTCCTCAGACCGTCGCGAGTGAATGGACCGACTGTTCCGTGCACACGACAACCCCCTACACCCAGGAGCCCGGCACCGGGGAAGTGCCGCCGATGCCGAGGGTGCCCTCGCAGTACGGGAACCAGGAACCGCCGCCGCCGTCGCCGGCGGGTAGGAGCGCGCCCGTGAACTGGCCGGCCCCGCCGCTAGGTCGCCAGTCGCCGGGTCGTCAGTCGCCGGGTCGCCAGTCCACGGTATCGAGCAAGTTGACGAAGCGCTCCTCTAAGGTGTCGACCTCGAGGGCGTCGGGCTCGACACGCCCGACGTCGTACGCCGCCAGCTCCGTCTACGACCGGGGCAGCGTGACGACCATGGCGAGCCCCACCGCCCCGCCGCACCGCTGGGGCATGAACGACTACAAGCCCATGAGCCCGTACGACGGCGACAGGGCGCAGAAGAAGAAGAAGAGAGGTAGCAGCGCGCCCCAGCCCGCGACCGTTCGGGATGAGGATGAGGAGGACGAGGACTGCGTGGGGCCCGACGACTCCATCAGCAATGTCGGCTGGAACAAGCACGCCAACGGCTCCGAGATCACGCAGCTGGGGCGCTTCAAGGGGAAGATGTGATTTTTTTGATGTGAGTACTTGAGTATGCAGCAGGTATGTATGTATGCATGTATGTATGTATAGGAACTTGCTCTTCATGTGACGCGGAATATAGGCGAGCAGGTGAGTCCTTTTGCCTCTGTTGTCGGTTGTCTAGACCTACTCCTGTTAGTCTATCTATATTACCTATGTCATGATGAATAAGAAAGGGGAAATAAATAAATATATTGAACATTGATGCTTCAGCGTGTGTTTAGAGTTGACGGCAGATTGCGCCGTTCTCGATGCTGTGTGTTTGTAACATGTTAATAGAGTGATGTCGTAACGTTGTTCCACACCGTTCCTCGTGGAAGCATCTACTATATCAGGTGTGCCTAAAACAGTTTTGTTGTCGATTACCATTGGGCGAATGGTCTAGGGGTATGATATTCGCTTTGCATAATCCCCGAGTTGTGATTGCGAAGGGTCCGGGGTTCAAATCCCCGTTCGTCCAGAGATCTACTATCGATGTTTCTTTTTTTCCTCTTTATATCCTCTTCCCTCCTTTCTTTTCCCTTTCCATTTTCCGATCCTTTCGAGTTTTCACTGACCCAGAGGCGCAGAATATCACCAAAAGTATTTGAACTCGTTTATTTCTTCCCCGCATTCGCGTCGAACTCAACGACGTTTTTTCTACGTGCCGTAGGTTTTGTATGAGCTCTGACTGATCTGATTGGACCCCCTCCGCGCCAGGCCTTCAAACATTGAGAGAATGACCATATCCCCAATCCAGGCCAAGGTAAACGAACTGTTTGACCCTGATCATCTCATCTTTGCCATTCTGTCATCAAACGTAAAATCTACGACCGCCCATTCCTGCTCCGCCTCCCACCTGTGCTCCGACGCCAATGCCATCTCCACTGAAGCCAGAGCCGGCTTGGTCCCCGACGGCTCGCGCAATGCAGGCGCGAGTGCCCTCAGTGGAACGAATCCATGACCGAGAGATCCGAAGCCGCGACGCCGCCGTGGGATCGGCGCTCGAACCGCTGCTGTTGCTGCTGCTTGACGAAGGGCATGGCCATGAGCCAGTCGCGCAGGAAGTACGCGATGACGCCGAGCCGGAACGTCGGGTTGACACCCTGCCACCGGTACCCGAAGCCGTTGCGCGCCGGGCCGGGGGTCGCGTCGTAGTTGACCACCGGACACCAGCTTTTTCATCACACGCACACGCCCCGTGTCAGTAATGGTTTTGTGTTTTTGATATTTTGTGGTTTGTGGAAAGATTTCGACTCACTGCCAGTTGGTCCGCGTGGTGGCGGTGTAGCCCTCGCGCGTGATCATGCCGATGTACTAATAGCCAGTCTCCCCGTCAGCGAAAACCGAGAGAATCAACGAGGGGGGGATTTGTCTATGGGGCTCTGTATCGTGAGGGGGATGATTGTTGGGTGGAGGCTCTTGGTCCATATCAGCTGAAGCTGGCGGGAACGTCGGGCGGGAAAAACTGACCAGTGGTCTTTGCAGCGCCAGATCCTGGCGGTGATATCCGAAAATAACCATATGATTCTAGGCATCAAGTCAGTCCCAAAACCGCCACCCTCCCCCTTCACGGAACTGTTCTCTTACAGAGGGTGTGTGTCGACGACGAGCCTGTCCGGGCGGATTCACGTTCGCGAAATCTACCCCGAAGTATGTACCGGCCTGGTACGCAGTCAGCCAAATGAGCTCATTCCCCTGCAAAAAATAGTTTCGAGCCTATCTCTCCATTTGTCTCTCTCTTCTTCGCCACGCTGTTTGGGGAAGGGGGGGAACCAACCTCTCCATAGGGGAACTCGAGGATCAGATCTGTATCGAGATCGAGCTCTCCGCCGCCAGTAGCCGCGGTCGTCAGATGACCCCCGCTGCGCATGGGACGCGGCCAGATCTCACCGTTCTGCGCGAGACCCGGGTGCTGGGGCGCGACGTTTTCGGGATCCAGCATCATGGAGCGGTAGGTCAGGTGAGCGTATTGAACTAGTTGGAGGGACGGAATCAAAAGCAGGTCAGCTCAGTCGGCTCAGTCCGTTGCGGTCCAGTCAGACCCGTCAGGTATCTCAGTCTTGCCGGCTGGGAGGAGGAAGAGGAGGCGGAGGAAGAGGAGAAGGGGATTGTTACATTGGCTGTAGATGCTGTACTGATGGAACATGACCTGGCGCGTGCCCCCGTCGTTGCTCGGGACATCTCCCCTCCGTGCGGACGGGCCGGCCATGACCCGCTCGGGGATGTTGTTGTGAGGCGCATCTCTGGGTCTTTGATCAGCACGTGTGTGCACACGACAAGGGACGAGTCCCGGGGGGCTCGACGGCGTGATGCCAGTGTGTTGCTAAGCCGTGACGAAGAGGTGCAAGAAGAAGAGAAGAGGGACGGAAAAACGGAAATTAAAAAAAAAAGAGACGGGAGAACTGACTGTTGGTATGTCGCTAACCGGGCAGCTTCACCCTGATCGATGGGGGGGACGTCTAGATAATGGTCGAAGCCGGGGCTCACCCAGTCATATTCCGGCGTCTGCGTTGGCCGCGGTCGCCGGGGTCTCTCGACTTCGGTTGGGGGCACATCGGCATCCTCGTCGTCATCACCATCAGATCGATCGTCGATAATTATAGCTCGCGTGACAACCGTGTCGGTAGCGTCAGGGTCGTGATTGTGGTTAGAGACAGGCCGGCCAAAGGAACGCTCCTGAGGCACGATGGGATTGAGCTCATCCCCCGAGGATCTACTCGTGCCTGGCTGCGCGACGACGGACAAGTTGGAGCGTCCGGACACGGCTCCCGCCACGAACGCCCCGAGGATCCAGAGAACGAAGAGTATGTTCACTACAAGAAGAGTAGTTAGAATATTATTTTTTCGCCGGTCTGAAGGTTTCCTTCTATGGGCGATACTCAATGGCCCGGGTGCCAAACCGAGGCCTAGCCGGCTGCAGGGAAGATGTTCAATGAACTGTGAAATACGTACTGATAGAAGGGCCGAGATCAAGCACATGCAGAGAGTCTGGAGACAAGCCAGGTGACTTTGATGCTGGTGTGCAGTTTGTGAGTTTCTTTCGAGTGGTCTCGTGGAGAAGGTGGTGAGGAGAGGCTTTTATGCGAGAACACGGTTCACAGGTTACGTGAGAGGGGAGGCGGTTGATTCCCGTAGCGTCTTGTTGTCTGTAGTGGTTTGGGGTTGGCCTGGGTTACTTACATTGTGCCCTGGAGAGGAAGAAAGAAAGGCAAGTGCACGCCGCGTAGTGTCTACCCAGGTATTCGTAAAGCCGAATAAACATTTAGGTGAGGAGGCGAGGTTAGTTAATATATCTTCTCATTCAACACCAATTACCATACGAGAACCTGGAAGTCACTGTACTGGTAAGCTAATGAACTCAGCCTAGGTCACTGGGGTGAAAAGGCCGATGTATTCGGGGCTCAATCAGTCTTGAGGATTGCAACGTTTCATTCACAAAGTATGTATGTATTTGGTCGTCAACCCTCTTACATCTTGAGTATTATTCACGACATATCTACTGTAGTTGGCAACCATCAATTTCCCTCTATAGTAAGTGACAATGCTAAGAGCTAGCAATAATATACATCTGAACAACCCATATTCGGGGATATGACGATTTAAATAAAGTAGAGATTATGGCTTGGACATTAAAATATATACGTTTATTCTATCATTGCTCCGCCCCTTCTAATAACTTTTGAATGGCAGGTAGAAACGCTTGTGCTTGTCTAAACTCTCCAAGCTTGACGCGCATGTAATCAAATGCAACAAGTATAACCTCGTCCCCCTTTCCAGATTGAAGTTCGAAATCCTCATCAATAATGGGGACCTTCTGATATCGCTGGGAGAAATGAGTCAAAAAGATCCGCTTGGCCCCCATCCTTCGACCTACGTCGATGGCTTCCGTCATGGTCGAGTGTTTCTTCGCAATTGCGTCTCCCTGCAACTCATCGTCGAACGTGCTCTCGTGTATGAGGACGGTTGTGCCTTGGCCAATCTGCACAAAGGCATCACTCGGGCGGCAGTCGCCCGAGAAAGAGATTTTCAACCCCGAGGGGAAGGTGAAGGAGGTGGCCAGGGCTCTGAAGCAATGATTGACCAGGCACACCTGAATCTCCTTGAGGCCAAACTGCTCCGTCTCCTCGCTGGTGAATTTGCGCGATTCACCGATGCGTGTTCGGTAATTGAAATTGCTAAAGGGGGTAATAACTAGGCGCTCAAAACCAAAGTCTTCCACATCAGCGTACTCCCGGAGCCAATCAATCATGTGCTCGTGAGACGCGATGACAAGTTTGGTTGACGGATTAGAGTTTGCTGTTTCCTCATGCCAAGCTTTGATGACTGAGACGGTACCCAGGTGATGATCCGCATGGAGATGGCTAATCCAGATAACCTTGAGATCCCGAAGGACAGAGGGCAGCTCATCGCCAAAAACGCGGCGCAGCTGCCCTATTGTATTCTCGCCTGCATCGAAGAGGTAGTTTCCATAGCCCGGTACGCGAACCAGCGTGGCGGAGACATTGCGATACTTAGAAGGTAGTGCGGAGCCAGTACCAAGCGCGATAATTTCAGCGTCTCTATTGGGTATGTCGGCTTCAGCCTTCTCAACTTTTGCTATAAAATCTGGCTGAAGGATTTTGTTTTTAGCTAGGGCAGCCAATCCCAAAACATCTCGATCCAGATCTGCTCGCCCAAGCTTCTCAATGTCTGGGAATGGCAGTATCTTGTCATCTTGATGCATGTATAGAGGCGCATATTGTATTGTCTTGCCGGTACGGCCAATTTCGTATGTGGACGGGTCGGCCTTAGCGGTCCCCGAGAGGGCCAGCTCATTGCTGTGGGCTGGTAAAGGGAAACGGTCGGGGTCGATACACCACAGTTTGTAGGCCTGAACAGCAGCGGATTCCAGGGCGATCATGTTGGGAGAGGTGTCAGTCGAAGTGACTATATGCTTGATGGACGACATTTTTTGCATAAAATTCTGTACGCGTGTATCGTTTACAACATCACAGCCCAAGATCCAGAAGATGACTTGTATGCCTTTCATGATTTGGCCATCTGCCCATTCGGAACGGTTGACAAGAGCGTCGATGTAGGATATGTCAGGCAGGTCGACAACCGCGAAGCCGCTGCCCGCAACGGTCTCGCCAAGCACCATATCAGGAGTCACCACGACCCCATCCTTGCCTTTGACACTCTGCCTGTTGGTAAGGAGGCGATAATCCCTCTTGCCGACGCCCAATCTCTCAGCTGCCTCCGGATCGAACTTGCCTCGCCTATCCTGCCCTTTAACGATGTAGCACATAGATTGCTTGGACGGTTCCGTCCGGGGCAGGGATGTGACGGTGGCGCCAGGCCAGGGTTTGCGGACTAGCACGGGAATATCCGGTACGTTCTCGCCGCTGCCAGGCATGGGACCAGTATAGACCTCTAGGTGACCTTTCTCATTGCGTACGAAGAGCTTTGCGGGTAGTTCAGCTTGGTGCAACGTCGTCT